CTATTTCCATATTTGTGCAGTACTGTTTTGGCCTTTGGGTTTATGAAAAACCAAAAACTGAATTGCTTTAGGTAGGTAGAGCTTTTAGCCTTTTAGGTTCATCATTTCGTGGTAAAGATGATCAATCCAGTTGCTTTCTCTCCAATAAATCTAACGACGAACAAATAGTCTAAATCTTATATATATATATTGGATGGTCTATGTCAACTTGCTTAGATGTTTCTTCTTTGAGAGAATTTATTTATCTATTTTCTCCATTTTTTTGTATTTTATATTTCTTTTTGTTTAAAAAATATAAATAGTAATCATTGCTTATTTTCTTTTGCCTTAGGTTCATCATTTAAGGTCACAATTAGGGTAAAATCCAAGGTCACAATTTGGACTGACGAATGCCTTGAGAATAAAGACAACATTGAATGACTCCCATCTAAATCTCATAATTTACAGTAAGTGGGACTTTTAAACGGGATCGGGTCTAGTAGGCACACAAAAGTAACCACGTTAAATTAGCACTTGATAGATATTTTGACAACTGTCAAAAGTGGGTATTAATTTTTTTTGAAGGGTAGGTCGGGGTTATTTTAAGGGACAGGTGTCAAAAAAAATTCTAAGTACTCATTGATTATGCTTACAATGTTGTGCCTACCTAATCCGAATTGCTTTTAAGCATCTTTCCTTAGTATTATTTTATGATTACTTTCAAACCAAATAAAGGAAAAATTTCAAGCCGTAATTAAGTTCAAATACACCAACCGAGTGGTGGATTGATTGGCACGTAAGTGGGTAAGCCCCTGAAGACATGCGGTTTCGAGCCTTGTTACTAATGGCTCCAAATCCATCTTTGAGAAGAGTATAATGTTGCTAGATAAAAAGTGCAGTAGGGCAAAAAGGGCAGTAATCAATACCAAACAAAAAAATTAAGTTCAAGTACAATATTATCATAAAGTCCTATAATCCCAACGAGCTGATTTTTGGGCAAGTTGACTTTCCAGGTAGCGCCCATTCAGTGGATTGTGTGATGCCAAATGAGGTAACAGGTTCCTAGGGGTGTTCACTATATGGTTCAAACTGTAAAACCGAATTGAATCAAACTGAATTTATAGTTTGGTTCGGTTATACCTATAAACGGTTTGATTCGGTTTGAGAATTTTCTAAATTGTGGTTTATGGTTTTGGTTTGGTTTATTGAATTTTATAAA